AATAAAACTTGGGTAGGAATTACACGAGCTAATATATGTCAAGTGCTCAGGTCACAGAGTAAGCATTTATGTTATCACATCTTTATTTAAGATGATAAAAAAGATAGCTCTTTAATCACAGTTACTTGAACCGTCTACCAAGGCAAACGGATTCTGATGGTGTTGAAACCGTGTCGTTTTATATGAGCTCAACGGAATTTTTTCCCCCTAGGGCATGATGACTGTGTCAGGCACTGGTTAGGCATTAGGGGAACCCTAAAGTTGAAGAAGCCCTCAAGGATTTGGAGGTGCCTTTTGTTCTCACTGATCATGCCCGTTGTAACAACTAGGACTTTGTGGTTTGCTACTAACTCTACTGATCGCTGGACCCTGACTGACAATGTAGTGGAATGATAATACCAGAAGTGGCTGGACACTCTGTAACCTCTCTTAGTACAAATCATTAGGACAGCCCTGGCCGGTTTGGCTCAGCGGTTAGAGTGTTGGCCTGTGGACCAGAGAGACCCGGGTTCAGTTCCCACTAAGGGCACGTACCTCAGTTGCAGTTTGTCCCCGGCCCCGGTTGGGGTCATGCAGGTGGCAGCCAGTGGATATGTCTCTCTCACATCAATGTTTCTCTCTCTCTCTTCCCCCCTCTCTCCCTCCCACTCTATCTGAAGATAAATGCAAAAATGTCCTTGGGTGAGGATGAGAAACAAAACAAAACAAAAATCATTAGAAAAATGAAGTTAGGACGTTTTCATCCTTGTCTGAGAAAATGTAGTGCTTTTATAACCTGGGAGGGTTATCGTCAAGTTGCTCGTTGAGGGGAGTGTGAAAAGGTGAAGAAGCATATTGGTCTCCCATCGCAGTTGAGGATAAAACAGGCCTCGCTCTTACTGCTCCATGTCTGCTCATCAGCGCCCCCCTCGGTCTGGGGCCGACTCTGTCTCTGCAGCACCAGATGTCCGTCCAGCTCTCTCCTGGGTGTCTCCATTCCGACTCCCACATCGATCTCCATCGTGCGCCCTTCTCTGCATTCCTGCGCCCTTCTCTGCATTCCTGCCGCACCTGCCACTGCCTCACTCCAGTGATGATCACCAAGGCCTCCTGTCCGGCTTCCTAGCCTTCGTCTTAGCCTTTCAAAGTCCGTGCTGCAGAGAGATCTGCCTAAAATTCCAGCCTGTCACGTTCTCTCTTGCTTTCAGCCCTCAGAGCTTCCTTGTTTTTCTTCGGGGGGGGGGGGGGGAGGGATCATGATTTGTGGATGTTGAACCATCCTTGCATCCCTGGAATAAATCCCACTTGACCATGGTGTATGATCCTTTGAATTACTGCTGAATTCAGCTTGCTAATGTATTGTTGAGGATTTTTGTGTCTGTGTTTATCGGGGATATTGGCCTGTAATTTTCTTTTTGTGTGTTGTCTTTGTCTGATTTTGGTATTAGGGTCATGCTGGCCTCATAAATTGAGTTTGGGAGTATTTTCTATTCTTCATTTTTTGGGGGGAAGAATTTGAGAAGGAGGGGTATTAGATCTTTTTTGAATGTTTGGTAGAATTTACCAGTGAAGACATCTGGTCCTGGGCTTTTTTTTTTTTTTTGTCTGTTGGGAGTTTTTTGATACAAAATATTCAGTCTCCTTACGAATAATAGGTCTGTTCAGATAGTCTCTCTTTTTCGTGATTCAGTCTTGGAGGACTGCATGTTCTAGGAACTTACCCATTTTTTTCTAAGTTGTCTCATTGGTCGGAGTATATTTGTTCCTAGCAGACTCATGACTATTGTATTTCAGTTGTAGCAGTTGCAACTTTTCTTCTTTCACTTCTGATTTTATTTACATGAGCCCTCTCTTGTTTTTCTTGGTGAGTCTAGCTAAAGGTTTGTCCAGATTGTTCATCTTTTCAAAGAACCAGCTGTTATTCTCATTGATCTTTCTTCTTATTATTTTGTACGCTCTGAATTTCCAGGGAATATTCAGAAATTGATCGTAGTGAGTAGTTGGATGCATAACCCTGGAGGTCATAGAAACGTCTAGAGCAGAAGACGGAGAGATTTGGTCGTTGTGGCTGAAACAATGGGTATCACCGGGAGGGGCCAGGCAGGTGGCTCGCTGGGTGTGGCCGAGAGGACACAGAGCGGAGACACCAGGGTTTCGGGGCAGGGCAGGGGAGAAGCAAAACCATCACTGACATCAACCATGCCATGTCTCGGTTCTTCTTAGATTTTCCTCAGAGAAATGTGAGGACCTTTGTAGTTGTTGAACTACACTTAGAGGGTAAACTTTACATATTGTAGCTTAAAAAAAAAAGTAGATTCTTAAATGCATGTTTCCCTGTCATTTGATCAGTTTATAGTGCTGAAGGGCAGCCTCCTGGGGTGAAGATGTAATCCCCCCTCCGCCACCAACTTGGTCATAATTCTCATTGGTACCGCTGCGGGACCAAGGGCGCCGTGTGTGTTTTCATCAGCCTCGTTCTGTCGTTTTCCTGGGTGTAGTCGTGTTGTCTGTGGGACACACGCAGGTGGATGTGTTACTGCCCCTTGCGTTCTGCTGTTCATAATTTATATTCCATTTCCTCCTTTCTGTTATTTTTATTTTTAACAGTGTTTGTTCGTGTGTTCTTTCTGCCTAAAAATAAAATATTTCAGAGGATTAAGAGGATTTTGAAAGCTCAATTAATTTTTCTGGGCTAAAGAAATGAGGCGTTTTTGTAAAAAAACAAAAGGCTGTAGGAAATGGGACAATAACGTTGGACGAGTATTACCTTAAATCTTTTACATAATCTATGGGTGCCAGCCTAGAAGTGTGTGTGTGTGTGTGTGTGTGCGCGCGCGCACGCTCAAGTGTGATCCAAAACACTCCGGTGGAAATACCAGACTTTATAACCACTTCCAATAAATACAAAAGTACAATTTGTAATTAACATTATTGCTAAAAGGATCCCCCCAAACTAAACTAATTGCATGCATCTTACTCCTCCCTCCAACTCAGTCGGTCTCTCTCTCTGCCTCTCTCTCTCCAGTCTGAATAGCACCTGTAATTAAGGAAGAAAACTAAGCCCACGGGAGCTAGGTGGGGCTTCCATCTATTGATCTGTGTAAACCCAGCGCACACTGTCAGGGGAGAAACAGTCAACCGCTGAGGTGCTTTGTCACTGACATAAGCTGAGAGAGGATTTTTTGTCTGTGCTGTTTAGACACCAGTCTATAGACCTGCTGGCTGGTTGAATTTTAAAGAGTGCGGAGGTTTAAAGACTTGTCCCCCGAGGGGCGCTCTGGCAGTTGGGAAGCGAGCAGAGGCTGCTTGCAGAAGGTTGTGCTGCTGGTGGCAGGAGGGGGGTTGTGCGTGAGCGATGGAGCCACGAAGGGAAAACCTCCTTCATTTGAGGCTTCAAACGGATGTGAAATAGATGGATAATTTGGGGGACATTTAGAAGCAGACAATGGATTTTGTGTCCGCCGATCGATCGATCGTCACGGGGATGGCGCGAGCACCTTTGCGGGGAGTTATCTGGGCGGTGTTCGTGTGTGTAGGAAGGGTGCTGAATGGCTTCCCTTTTGTAGCACAGATGAGGGTTCGCGACGGCCGCAGGACTGTTCCCGGTGCGGTGCACCCTTTCCAGCTGAAGGAATTTCAAGTGTCGCCCGGATTTTAGTGCCATTTAGCACAGGATCGTCAGTAGGAGCGCAGTTAGCTTTCCCGAGGGTGGGGTCCTGCTCTGGAAGGTCTTTGTTCCCCAGCAAGTGGGCGCCCCGCCCTGGAGACAGAAGTCACCTGTTTACAGGATGCTTTTCTCCTGCCCCAGCGCCCAGCGTCGGTGGCGCCCGAACCAGATCGGGATGTTACAATATTTTATTTTCCTTTGGAGCCTTGTGCTTCGAAACCCTCACGCCCGGGTCTCTGTGTAGGGTTTAAATATTTAAGTATTGATGATTGTCTGGATGTCAGTTTTATTGGTAAAGAGGCGATGGGCAAGGTAGTTTTTTTTTGGGGGGGGGGCTGACTACTTTGTTAAGACTCTGCCTCCCTTTGCTTTTCAACAGAAAAAGGCTCCGTCCATCTCTGCTTTGTCTTGTAAAATCACCCGACCGAACTGGTACGATGTGATCTTCAATCCCGAAGTTTAATTTAAGGACCAGAGTTCATCTCGGTGGTTTTTCACAGATAACAAAACAGATCTTTCTCTGTTTGGGGCCCCGTGGCTGACAATTACCTGCATTTTGTTCTTGCCGAGAATGTGTGTGTGATTTCTGAGCGATGCACAAGCGACCTTAGAACGGCTGCGAAACCCCCACAGGTCTCCAAACCAACCAGGCCCTTTTCTACGCTGAATTCAAACGTGGCTCTTCGTGTCAGGCAATTTTTAAGGTGTGGCATGGAAGCCGTGTTGTTTTAAAGATAAAGGCGCATTTTTAGATGCGCATTTCAGGGTTTTATTCGCGCTATAACTTAGCCTTCCTGTCGCTGAATTTACCAAGAGTTGAATCGTATAAACGTGCCCCTTTCGCTACAGAAGTCTCTTTCTAAACCGTTTTCCTGGGGGACGCGGAGGGTTGTTATACCTCCCGGTCATTCATTCTCCCCATCCCCTTGGCTCTGCCTGCATTTTAATTGAAACAACATTTCTATGTCTGAGCCAGGATCTGTCAGAAGTCCCCGTGGCTAGTCTGTGGGACCAGTAGCCTCCCCATATGGTGTGGCGCTTCTTGTAAAATCCATATGGCCTTGTTGAGGGGACCCCGGCGGGGATGTGAAGGGTGTTAATACCCTTCAGGCCAGGCCTCTGCCTCCTGGGGCCTCCTGGCATTGTCTCCGCAATCTGCCCGGCTCACCCCTCATTCCTTCTTAATAATCAATTATTTTCATCTAGGAGCCTGGGCTGTTTTTCTTAAGAAACGACCCCCAGCCCTCCATCCCCCCCCCTTTTGTTTCTCTAGAAGATGTCTCAAAAAAGTTTTAACAGGCCTCTTGATAAATATTCTAAAGCAATTTTTTTTCTCTTTAATTTGCCTTTGCAGGAAGTGCTCCAGAGTGTCCCCAAGTTCTGTTTCCCCTTCGACGTCGAAAGGTAACGTAGGAAACCTGGCACATTGTAGGGGCTGGGCTGTCTGAGGGCTCACTGCACAGGAACTGCCCTTTCTGTTCGTACAATGACATTGCCTTTGTCCTTATTACCTCCAACGACAACAAGACCCGAGGCCCGGAGGGAGACAATAGTTGCCACGTGAAGTCTTTGAGATCAGGGGACCTTCAGTTTCCTCCGCTGGGGGCCTGGGCAGGACTCGCCTGAGGTTGCGTTGATTCCCCCTGCGCGGCAGGTACATCTGAGTGTTCGCAGGAAAAGAAATAGGGATCTGTCCCGGTCACAGCTTTGGGGTGGTGCCTTTTAAAATTCGATGTGTCTGTCCTGGCCGCCCCTCCCTAATTGAAAAGACCATCTGCGTGGCCTTGCCAACCCGCCGGCCAGTCCCCGAGCACAGCTCTGCGGGGGTGCGGTTCTCCGGACGGCTGCAGGCCCTGTCCTGGCAGGTCCGGACATCTCCTGACGTGAACTTTACGGGACAGCCACTGAAGGGCTGGCGTGCTACCTGGGTGCCGTCGGAATTCCACAGAGCGTCCAGCCCTGGGAACAGAAGAGCACCCCAGTTATTATTCTCCATGGGGTTCTCGTACCCTGTTCTCAGAGTTTTTTTTTTAAGGACTGCGGCAGGCAGGAGTTCTAGAAGAAAATAGATCACAGGAACACAGTTGGCTAAAGAGGAGTCAAAACTGAAACTTTGACAGTATTGAAGACACTGTTCAGAACGATGGGCCGATGGCTCGTCATGCGCCATGCTGGGGGCGACACCCGGTTTTCCTTCCTTGCAGGGGAACCAGTGGTACCTGCCAGCGTCGTGGTTTTCGGGTGCACAGCGAAGGCAGAATAAAGGAGGCACCGTGGGGGAGGGTTCACGAGTGAGGGAAGGTTGCCGGCCCGTCGGGTGCCAGCGGGCACATGGGGCACCAGAGCTTGTTTTCGAGGGTGGACGGTTTGTAAAAAACTGTCCACTTAGCAGCGTCTTTGCTCGGTGTCCAACACTGCAAGTGCCTTATTCCCTGACAGTTCCAAAGCCGTGGAGCGTGGGCCCCGCCTCGCCAAGCAACTCGGTTCCTTTCACATAATTCCTGTGGCTCTCGCGAAACCCAAGCCTAGGAGTCACGGGGATGTTACTGAGGACAGGGGAGCAGGTGCTCACTGTGGCTGGCGAGTGGCAGAGTCACAGGCAGTGACGGGAAATAGACGTGTGCATTTTAAACAGGGACACACGTCCTGTGCAAGGATTGACGTCACATCTCGCGACGCGGCACGACCGATACTGTGGTGGTGTGCTACTTGGTCTAAAATGAGCAAAGACTAAAGCTTCTGGACACAGACAACAGCACGGTGGTGACCTGAGGGAAGGGGTGGGGGGAGGGAAGGGTAAAGGTTGTCAAATAAAAGGTGACGGAAGATTTGACTTTGGGTGGCGGGCACACAACGCAACATACAGGTCGTGTATCAAAGAAATGGACACTTGAAACCTACATGACCCTCGTAACCCATGCCACCCCTATACATTTAAATTAAAAAATTAGCTAAAATTCTTGGTAGGAAGCCTTTTTTTTTTTTTTTTTTTTGTAGAACTTGACTTTTTATTTCATACTTGGAAGTGTATTCTCCTTGGAGAGGTAGCCGTGGGAGAGAAGGGTAAAAGAAATGCCAAGTAGTTTGTATGGTCCTTTATTGGGTGAGAATGTTAACAGAAGAAGCCGTTAAACGGGGCTGGTGGGCCCTTCGCGTCTAGAGTGACTCGGTCTGTACCTGAGCCCAGTGAGAGGCGCTGGGAAGGCAGGCTGGCACCCCGGCTTCGCAGCCCCACGGTCTGCCCGTTTCGTCAGACTTGGTGAAATACCTGCTAGTGCCTCAGGGCCCCGTTTCCCGGGGGAGGGCTAGGACCCGCCGCGTTGCCCGGCCGGATGGCGTTGCCCGGCCGGATGGCGTTGCCCGGCCGGATGGCGTTGCCCAGCTGCGATATGCCTGCGGGCTCGGGGCCAGCTCAGCCTCCCACCCTCTCGTGGCGGAGCCCGGTTCCAGCTCCAAGACCCAACTGGTTGGAGCGTGGAAAACCGACGCCGCGCAGAGACACGTTCCTGCTTCTGCTGTTCTGGATGGAATCCCGACCCCCGGCTCTAAGTTCTTCCGTTTCCTGTGTTCTAGAGTGTCTCAGAATCAAGTCGGCCAGCACTTTGCCTTTGTCCTGACGGACATCGAGAGCAAGCAGAGATTTGGCTTCTGCAGACTCACGGCCGGCGGGAAGATGTGCTTGTGCATCCTGAGGTGAGTGCGGCCGGGGCACGGACGGATGGACAGACGGATGGACGGACGCGAGGATGCCCCGGCTTCCTTCCGCCCTTGGGCACGCGTGGGCCGCCCCACGATGTGCTTGGAATTGGTCTGGGGCTCATTTCCTGAAAACCCAAGTGAGCTGTGAAATACCTTGTATTTCTCTTTAGAGCATCAATTAGGTGTAAAGATTCACCTGTAACAGAACTTTCCTTGAAAGAGTTGGCTCTTTGCAAGATTTCGTGTGGGTTTACTTCTGAAAACTTAAATATTCAGGTAGGAGTGGAAGACATATATGTTTCACGTGTAAATAGGGCGCCAGCTCTTGCAGGAGACGTGTCCGTGTCTCCGCCGCCCCGAACGTGCGCTCCCGGAGGGGCCTTCCCGCGTCCCGGCGCAGGCTGCAGACCGGGGTCCAGGCACCAGTGTCTGCAGGGGTTTTATTGGGCCACGTGGTGTAGGAGACATTTCAGGAGACACATGTCAGCGAAATTTTGCATAAAATCCATGTTTCTAATTCCTTTGGCTGAACAGGAATATTTAGCAAAACAGAAGCCCTTCCCCTAGAGCGACGGGAGGCTGGCCTGCGCCGCGGGCCTTCGCCGCATCGAGAGCCTGCCCCTTAGCTCCAGCCCCTCTGCTTCCGTCGCCTGCGTCCTGGTGCCCGGGTGTTGCGGTGTTCCCTGTCTGTGCACCTGGCGTCTGAGCTGCTGGCCGCTGGGAGGAAGGGGTCCCAAAGGGCTCTCCCTTCGCAAATCTCGGTGAATCAGAAATCCCGATTCTAGAAAATAGTCTATGAAAATAGGACTCTCGACGATGACTCGAATATGCACATTGGCCAAGGGAGATTCTGTGGACGTGCAGGCAGGGAAACAAACGATGCCCAGTGACTAAGACGGGGCGGAGAGGGCTTGGGTGCAGCACGGGTGTCCGGCCATGTCCTGCGAAGGGCCGGGGTGGTGTTTCCTCGGATGGCTGTTCGAGGGGGAGGGGCGTGCGGCTGCCTGGATTCCGAAACGCACGTCTCAGCGCTCCATGCGCCACAGACGGGGCCGTGCTCACCGGGGTGACACCTGCACTGAAAGCGCGTGTTGCACCGTGAAAAGGGGGTGCGGCTGCGCTGCAAAGCGGGGTTCTCGAGCCGAAGCCAGGCGGTGGGGCCCGGGGGGCTGGGGGGCCTGTGGGAAACAAGCGGGAGAGGGGCTCCGTTTTCATCTTGTTTCGTGATGAACGTTCAAAGGCTAGAGTTTGAAGGGGAGTCTCACGTCCTGTTCGCCCAACGCAGACCGGAGCGGTGTGTCCTTCCTAATTTTCCTCCGGGAACGTCTAGATCGTCTCATGAGGAAAAAAATGAGATGGTCAGAAAAGTTTCAAGACTCGTACGGTGAACTCATGCACACACCGCCTGGCGTCACAACGGGAAACAAACCTCTTCCTCTCCCTCCTCTCCCCACCGGCGCACACACGGCAGACAGCATCTGTTCCCGCAGGTCGGAGCTGGCGAGCGCACACGGTGCCTCCCAGCTACTTGCCTCCACCCCTAGATGATGCCGTCGTGAGACTTAACGTAATTTAAACTTACCTTCGAATTCTGAGCTAGAAAATGTGCACACAGTGCTATAAAAACCAGGTGTGCGCGTGTGTTTGTTTCCCCCCTCTCCTGGAGTTTACGTCATTACATGACTTGAAAGTAAATACAGCCGATTCCCGTGTGTTTTGTTCCCTTTTTAGAAGAAGTGGTAGGATTTCGGGGTCCCGGATGGAAACATCGCTGTTTAATTTTGATTGGGCACCCGCAGCCGTGTCCTGGGCTCTTTCTGGGACAGTCTCTCCCCGTTTAACGAGACTTCAAAAATAGCCCACGCCAGGACTCGTTTACATCCTACCTTTTTTTTTTTTATTAGAAGTGCTTTCCTATACCGGCCAAAACGCAAGAAATAACCTCTCTCTCTAATTGGATTAGCGTGATTTCGCGACTATGAGGTTGTCCCCAGGTTTAGCATGAACTGCCCTATAGCAGGAGGGCCCGGCCGCAGCGCCCTCCCCGCCCCTTTAACTCGCTCCACACTCCAAGCCTTCCTGCGCTTCCTCTGGGCAAGTCCCTCCGAAGCAGAATGTTTCAATTTTACACACTTTGTGTCAATTTTCCAGACAGAAGCAGCCTCTGGACATGGGAGGGGTTTGGCGAGGCAAAGCAGTTTCCTTAGTTTTATTTGATTATTCCGACTTCGGTTCCCGCTGATCACTGAGACTCTCTCTCAGTGGTTGCCTGACTGTTTGATCAAACAACATTTCCTTTCCTTTATTTAACCTTTGACTTTGGGATGTAGAAGTTTTATCGGCTCCGTGGTAGAAACACGAGGTGTGGGGGAGTCCTCGTGCGGCCGCAGGCTGGACGCGGGACTTCCTATCTACGTCTCTGACCTTTGCCGGTGTCTCCTGGAAACACGAAGGAAATAATCTTAGAAGCAACCTCTGAAGAATCTGCTGCCTTTCGCTTTAGAATAGTTGGTCCTAATGTGTTTGTTTTATGTCTGTAAGTGTTACAAGAATATGAGAGTCAGTTATTCTTTGTTAAAGAAATGACATTTTCAGTTTTATAATAATGTAAGGACATACCTTATTCAGTCAATGTAATATGTAGAATACATTTAAAAAAAAACCAAAACTTCCTAGGATTTTTGTGGTTGACTGTAAGAGATAGATTTTGACTGTCTTTGGGACTAAAATTTAATGAAAAAGTATTTTAAATCATCGATAGACCATTGAAAGGCTTATTCAGCAGTTAAAAATTAATTGCGTTGAATATACATTGTTTGAAAATTATCTAAGAAACCACAAAACAAAACAAAACATGACAGTAACATTTCTTACCCACGTAAGATGAGTTCATAAGATTTATGGTATTTATATGTTAGGTTATGTTATGTTATGCTATGTTATTCTATGCTATGTTAGTCTATGGATATATAATCATGTATATCTGCTATTTTGGTTACACATTTTGTCTTTAAAGTTTGTCATGGAACCTTTCTAAGGTATTTGACTTTTTGAGTCCCAGATGTACCGCAGACCATTCTCCTGCCCTATGGAGTAGTGGCTGCATATCAGGGCCTGTGGATTCAGTTACCTGCAGGGACCGGCAGGGGGCACAAATGAGACTAGCAGGTTAGGCGGCTGACAACGGGGAGTTGGGGTGAATAGGCCACATTCCAAGACAGAAGTCATTGCACATTCGTTGCCAAGTGGAGAAGGTGTGACCGGTAGGACCTATTCTTTCAATTTTTTAAAATTCTCGTTTTTAACTGAATTATATCAGATTTAGAAGTTGGCAACTTATTTGAACAAGAGCAGTGGTGTGTCAGCTCACGAAAGACCCTCGTGGGCTGGCTTGGACAGTGTCTGCATGTCCCAGTCTGCACCCTCTGCTCTGTGTTTATTAAAACCTTTGGGTCAATTTTAAATGTACTTACACCTTAATTTATTAATAAAGAGTACAGGTTTTATTTTGTGTAATTGATTTTTGGATTTAGTGTTTTGCTTTCATGAAAATTAGTTATACGTGGATGTAGCAAAATGAATCAAAGTAAATTTTAAATTATAATATTTGTTTTTGATAACGAAAAGCTATTTACAATATTTACAGTTTTTAAAACTGGCTTTTTGTTATTTGTATTGATATTGATTTTGAAATTTGCCATCCTATTTAAACATCAGTTTCTGAATATTGGATTAATTAAGCACATAATACTATTGTATTATAAACTCAATTCAGTAATATTTTAAAAAATGATTGTATTTTTTAAAAAATTTTTTAAATTGATTTTAGAGAGAGAGAAAGGAAGAGGGAGAGAGAGAGGGAGATAGAATCATCAATGAGAGAGAACATTGATTGGTCGCCTTCCACATGCCCCTCACTGGGGATCGAGCCCACAACCTGGGCATGTGCCCTGACCAGGAATCGAACCGGTGACATCTTGGTGCATGGGTTGACACTCAACCACTGAGCCACACTGGCCAGGCATGATTGTATCTTTAAATGTTTATATTATTTTCCTCCAAATAAGGTTTTCTTTTGCCAGGCAGATAGTGTATCAGCAAATCTCACACACACACACACACACACACACACACACACACAGATTGTATATTGTAAAAATTAGTTTTTCGTGTCATATTGCATCTTTTTACAGTGGTTTATTCTCGATTTGCTCTTGGTGTGCTCATACCATGCACACCATGAAACAGGACTGACTAATTTTAGATACTGCTGACATAAAATAGACCTGAGTAATAAATACACTTTATGGTAGAACTTTGGATTCTGATCATGTTATGAAAACGAATAATAGATAACGTTTCACCGTAACAGTAAAGAGAACACAGGTTTAGTTCTTTTCTGCCTTCAGGATCAAATTGTTTGAAATAATATAAAGTTAATGTTTATTTTGTCATCTTGTTTCTTGAGTCTAAATAATATGTATACATTTTTCAGTTATTACTGTTTTTTTGTTTGTTTGTTTTTTTACAGTTACCTGCCATGGTTTGAAGTCTATTACAAGCTCCTAAATACTCTGGCAGATTACTTGGCTAAGGAACAGGTAAGCTATGATTTTCCCCCCATTTTTTTTTTGTATGGAGGTAAAAATGCATATAACATAAAACGTACAATTTTAAACGATTTTAAGTGTACAGTCCTGTGTCATTAAGCACATTGTTCTGCAACAATCAACCTGTCATCTCAAGGACTGCTCTATCTTCCCAAACGGGAACTCTGTCCCCATTAAACAATGCCGTCCCATTTCTCCTCCCCCGAGTCCCTGGCAACCACCCCTGAACTTCATGTCTGTATGAATATCACCATGTGACTCATGGAAATGGAATCATACAATATTTGTCCTTCTGTGACTGGCTTATTTCACTCAGCTTGTTTTCAAGGTTCATCCAGTTTTTAGCCTGTGCCAGAATGTTCTTCCTTTTCATACTGGAGACTGTTCTACAGTCTCAGGTGTGCCTGCCCATCCACCTGTAGGTGAACACTTGGGTGGCTCCCCCTTCTGGCTGTTGTGGGCAACGCTGCTGATATCATGGGTGTGCAAAGATCTGAGTCCCCGCATTCACTTCTTTGGGGAGTGTTCTCAGAAGTAGAATTGCTGAGTCCTATGGTCATTCCACGTTTCCTTTTTTGAAGAACTGTCAAAAAATGACGTTTTCCAGTGGCCGCACAATCTTCATTCCCACCAGCAATACAGGGTCCCTTTCCTCACACCTTCCAAATGCTGTTATTATCTGGGTTTTTGTTTGTCTTTAATCTGGTCTCACGGGCTATTTAGACTGATATTTAGATTTGATCATTCCGGTTGTCCTTACCCAACCTACAGTAGGCAAGTACAAAGGATTTTTTAAAGCTAGATGTGGACAAAACTCACGAAGTCAGAGGAATTTTGTATATATGGAGCGTTGATATCTAGAATATTCTGCAGTATATATCATTGTTTAAGTGGTAAAAGGTGAAGTCGTTATAGTCTTCTTTTTTGGTCATCGTAAAGAGAATTTCAAAAAGGGGGTTTTGAGTGCACACTTTTGCACGCGTTCATGGAGATCCGAATTTAATTTGAAGACTCCTGGGGAGAAGTCACACGTCTCAGATCCACATCCCTGAACATTAGTTGTTACCTTCCCTGAAGAGTTGCCTTTTCTTTGGCTCGTTCTCCTAACATGAACACTTTAAGAAAGAATAAAAATAACTATGTATTTAAAAAGCTACCATCATATATTTATTATCATAGTTATTGTTACTGGATTTGTATATGTAATTCAGAAAAAGTGAGTGTACACGTCAAGATACGTTGTTATTATACAAATCCTAGGAAGTAGATAATGTTATATAATTTATCTCATCACATTTTTTTGTGGGTCAAGTAGTGACCAGTCACTACTTAGGAAAGAAACATTTAGGATAACTTCTGTGTTGGATCTTAGTACAATAGACTTACTTAAATTATAGTTCTTCCTTAAAAATTAGATCTGAGCCCAACTGGTATGGCTCAGTGGTTGAGTGTTGACCCTGCACCAAGAGGTCACCAGTTCGATTCCCGGTCAGGGCACATGCCCAAGTTGTGGGCCCGATCCCCAATGGGGGGCGTGCAGGAGGCAGCCACTCGATGTTCTCTCTCATCGATGTTTCTCTCTCTCTCTCTCTCCCTTCCTCTCTCTCTAAAAATCAATAAAGAAAAAATATTTTAAAAATACCAGATTTGAGATTTTAAAATTCAAACAGGAAATGGGAGATTTCAATAATCTGATAAAAGTCATAGTGCTATTTTTATATAATTTTATTGTTCTTGGATTTAATTATTTAAATAATTTCTTTCTATAGATAATATATTTTATAATAGTTAACTTTTGTCAAGTATAGATATATTTATACTAAATGTAAATAGTGCTGTTATTCTTTCTGGATAAAGAGAGGAATATCTCTTTATTTCCATTTTTATTAGATTTAAATATTTTAATTTAAGGTAATTAAAACAGTCCTGTGAAGCAGTTACACAAAGCCAGTCTAACAGTAGAAGGCACGGTGCCTGACTTTATCCAATCGTTTTAATCGTATTTGTGTAATATATTTTATCTATAAAATTTACTTTTAATTTTTTGCTGTAGGAAGATGATTTGACTGTAACCCTCAAAGCGCTCTATGACCACCCAGTGCCGAAGGCAAACAGCCCCGTCAGTCTGAGTGTGGTAAGTCTTCAGTCATCGACCTGTGGGGTCGTGGGTGTTTCTCACAGAGAACACACACCCTCAGAAGCTTCCCCCTCACCTCACCTGTGCTCCCAGGACCGTCACTGGCTCATGGCAGGGGGTTCTGGACATGCTTAACCCACCAGGACCTGCCACAAGGGATGCGTATTTCGGTAGCTGTTAAATCACAGATTTTCAAAAATGTTTATTGTACACCAAAAGGAACCAAAGCTGTCAGAATATTTTGATTATGAGAAGCATTGATTTTTCAGGCAGAATCTATGCATAATACGGAAATACACATATACGCACGGACACCGCCCCCTGCCAAAAAACCACATTCAGCATACCCCTCATAAAACGAAAGAGGTACAGACGAGGATGGGAAATATGGCTTAATGACGTATCAGTAACCATGAGATAACAATTCAGGGTGAAACGTTTCTTCTTCCTTCCCATATGTCAGTCCACATTCTGGTGTAATCACCGAACACTGGGAACACGACGGGGGGTTTTCCACACGGTCAGCCTGTGAAGGGGGCGATTGTTTACTGTCCAAGCATCAATGGGCGATGCTGACGATTTCTAAACACACATTCGTCCTTTGCAAGGTTTTGTAAATGTTCAAAGTGAATCACACAATATGGATGTTTTCAGTCACATTCTTTATTAATTGGGCATACCAAATAGAATGCTTAACTTTATTTATATTGATTTGGTTCTTCCAGAGTAATAAAAAACTGTCCCAGTAAGAAAAATATGTAAGGGTACAAGAAAAAGGTCCCTTAAATAAATATAATAGTATTAATAGATCTTTTGCTTTTTTGCAAGATAAGGGAACTGTTGTTTTGATTAAATGTTTTCTTTGGGGATAAATTTCTTTACCTAAATGTCCCCACCGTGGTTTGGTTTACTGGGAGTGTTCTCTTAGATTATTCTGTTTTTCATATGTTCACTCTCGGCACCCGGGTTCAGGTGCTTGGCACTCAGAGTCCTTGGTCTAGTCTCTTTCCAGACCTCTCTACAGCTTCCTTAAACTACGTCAAGTTCCCTGATGGAAGCAATAGCTTCTCATTGTCTATACAATTCGTCCACTTTCTCACATGACATGAGCAGCTCTGCATTTAAAATAACCTCTGTGATTAACGTTATTCAACCATTTTCCGTGCACAGCGTGGCTACCTGGGTTTGTCTCTGCTATAGAGCAGACGGTTGTGTAAACTTCCCCCATGACAGTAAAATATTCATTTTTCTCTCTCACATATTATAAGAACCAAGAGGTATTTATTGCCAGTGAGCAAGTTCTGAAAGATCAGCCCTCCTTAGTACCGGTGAGTTCAAAGGACATCGGCTTCTAAAAATCAGACTGGGGGACGATGACCGTCCATCCCCGTGTCTCCGGACTCACTGCAGTCCTCCGGGAAGGGGAAGCGGCTCTCTTTCAAGGGAATTAATCACTTGGGGTCTATTTTCTGTTTATACGATCTTTGAACGCCCAGTGGCCTGACATTCAGTACTGTTGGAAAACCCTCCCAAGAAAAGGAGCTGGTGGAGACCAGATCTGCCCGCGGTCCGCGCTGCCGGTGGCGGCGAACGCGGTCCGGCGTGAGGCTGTCGCGGTTTTGTCTCCCAAGTTCCTGGAGGCCTGCTGATTGCTCTCATGTTCTCCTGCCCCAGAAAATTACACGTAAACTGTGGGAACTCGCCTCGTTCCGACGAGTTCCACTGTGCCCAGCATTGGCTCGAATGTGGTTTGTTCCATCTCTGACCCAGTACTGACCATGTCCCTGTGGGGTTGAGTCAGTGGAGGGAGTTTGGAGATTAATATGAACAGAAAATAAAACCAACTTGGGCGATGGACTGTGATTCTGGGGGTCGATTTGGGTGCGGGACCCGCGGAAGCATGCACGGCTGCTTTTTGTACAGATGTCTCTGTGCGCTGTTGCAGTGCTTTGGGTATTATACACGCTAATTAATATTTGCTTGGGGGTTCTAATGTCATATTGTGAAATCAGTAAATAAATTTTTAAGGAGTTTTAAATACTCAAAAATTATGTTTTTTTTTTTGCTGCTTTCTGAACAATATAGTGGGTGGTATATATGAGAGAAATTTGTTGTGACTTTACCATAGAAAATCATAATAGACTTTGATACATTCTTGGGTAAACAAGCCTTTTTTTCCAGTCTCCCTAAACTAAATGTGTTTTTAAAAATATATAACTATATATAATAATAAACATATATATATACACACACATATATATAATAGTAATATACTGTTTGTCTTAATAAGCTTTAACTAGGAGTTTAATTGTAAAATTAAATATTTTTAGCCAACACTTAATTCTCTGTATGAGGAAGTTATTGTTAAATCCCATAGAAATCTGTCATCTCATTTAAAAATCTCTCAGGTTCAGCACATGCTGAGCATCACACCGTGGTATTTATAAACCTAGTTGATGTATTTTTTTCTTATTTTTAATCCCAGATGTGAGGTAATGCCACCCAGTTGTGACCTCCTTTCTCTGTGTTTTCTCTCTGTCCATCAGCATTCGTGCTTCATCACCCCCGACGTGACTGGACTCCCCACCATTCCCGAGAGCGTGAGTTTCTGCTTTCCGTGGGTTTTACTCTGTTGATAGTCTGCGTTTTATTTATTTTGGTCTCACTGTTTAAGGACTCCTGATAGGGAAATAAAATACATAGTAACTATCTGTGTTTGTGAGAAATAATGAAGAAGTAAGAAACAATGTTGCTGTCTCTTGCTCTTCTTTATGTACCTGCTACTTTACCCACTTTTGAATATCTGGTTGTAGGTAGGAAAATGATATGAGAACGGCTCTGTCTACCAGCCGAGATAGCTCAGGAGGATCATATACGGCAGTCAGATCAGGGAGAGGACATTTCTCAGGAGGATCACAGACTTTTGGTGGGAATGCATCCAGGCACGGGGAACTATTTTCACACAAATAGTTACTTCAGTGAGCTGACAGTAGTGCAGATTCCTGCATAGACCTCTGTCCAAATCTAGGTGTCCTGTGCCTGATTTCTGGATTCTCACTTACGTAATAACGTATTTTGTAAGACTTGAAGGGTATTACGAGAAATTAGAACAATGGCTACGTTTTGCATTTTATTTAAGCCGTAATTGTAGCCCTACTAGAAACCGTTTTGGCCTTTGAATAGTTATTGCCAGCGGATCTTCCGTGGAACAGCAGACGTGGAAAAGGGCCAGACACACCTACGGTGTCAGATGCTGCGTGAAAAGGAAACACAGTTCCCTTCCGCGGTTTCCTCCCGTGCTCTGTGGAAAGATACAATAAATCAGTAGGAACAATTCCATCGAAAGTGAAGGAAACATGAAGAGGGGAAAACATATTTCCAGGAATACTAATGACTTCCCCAAAATGCACCTCGATGGTCCTCCCAAAAATGTTTTCAAGGCTGCTGAGCGTTTTGTTCCCAAAAGCGCGTGTGTGACGCCTGAGGTCCAAGAAGACAGTTGTGAGTTTTCTGATGTCAAACCAAGACTGTCGATGTGTTTCCAGTACAGCCACGTTCAGATCACTCTGTGGAAAGTCTGCGTTCACTGCTCTGAATGGGGTCGCGGGCTCTGAAGTCCGAGGGCCAGTCTCTGTGGGCCGGGCCCCCCACTCTGCCCTCCTGGGGCCAACTAACCAGGCCTTGGCTTATATGACCCTGGACCCTTCACTTCAGCGTTCTAATAGAGTTCCCAGTGACTCCCTCCCACTTCCCACTCCGTACCCTCCTTACACTTACCAGTAAACAGCTAATGAGCCGAACTGAACAAATCTCACATTTTTTTTCTTTTATCCTCACCCGAGGACATTTTTCCATTTTTTGTTCAGGTAGAGTGGGAGGGAGAGAGAGGAACAGAGAGAGAGAGAGAAACATCGATGTGAAGGGACACATCGAGTGGCTGCCACCTGCACGACCGACCAGGGCCGGGGACAAACTACAACCGAGGTACGTGCCCTTAGCGGGAACCGAACCCGGGTCTCTCCGGACCGCAGGCCGACGCTCTAACCGCTGAGCCAAACCGGCCAGGGCCAAATCTCACATTTTTAAACGGCTGTTGCTTTGATCGTTTTAAAGAACATTCTAAGGAAAAACCGCCACGGAGAAGATACATTTTGACATCTCCATGAACTGTCTTATTTCCAAAAGTCCTGTCGGGGCGGGGGAGGCAGGGACGCAGGGACGGCAGCATTCCGTGATGGGAAAGAACTCCGTCCAGGGATGACCTTTGCTGGGATGACAGGAACAGAGTGGGTCGAAGGCCACGAACGGCCTCTCGCGTATGAAGACTGGAAATCCCGTGGGCTCAGAAGACGGGAGCGGGAGCTGTCCCTCCGCTCCGCACCGCTCCCGATGGCCGCAGGTTCTGTTCACAGCCTCTGCTTGTCCGGAGTCCTGGAAATCACCGCATTTCCTGGCTTCTTGCCCACGGAAAAGTTTTAGCCCTTCCAGGCCACAGTGTACCTGCTGCTACCGTTTCAGCTCCTCCTCCTCCTCTGTCCAGCGTGCTTACGTCTGAGCACAGGACGATGTTAGACACTAGAAAGGAGAGGGTCCCATCGCCCAGCCTGGGTAGCTTATCCCCGCTGTGCTCTCCGCGGGGAAAGCAAGTTCAAGTAGCCAGTCAAGGACTCGCGTCAGACAGCGCGGAATTGTATTCGGTTACGGTAGCGGAGAGAGACCTGACATGGGGTGTGAACCAGGGATTTTCCTTCCTAAAGAACCGAAGAGCCGCTTTGTTGCCCATCTCGTCCTCGGGGCGCCTGGGCACCGGGCAAGGTTCGGACAGGGAGAGTGCCCGCTAGTGGCTGGCAAACATAAGCAGACCCACGTGGATTTACTTCCTGGAGCAGTTCCATGTGTAGAAGAACCACCAGGAGTAATTGTTTCCAAACAGATTCTGGGGGCCACCCTCTGAGGGTGACAGTTTAGCAGGTCCAGGTAGGGGCCCAGGAAGTTGGCTTCATTTTTGAGTGCTTTGGGGGGGAGGGGTGACTATCCCTGGTCCCCAGCAGCCTCTGGGAAGCAGTTTCCCAAGGTCGAATTACATTTCAGATGACAGTAGAATGTCCCCTGTTTTGGGTGACAGCAAAATAATAATCTAATCATGGTGATGGGTGCTCTTTTTTTTTTAATCCTCACTCAAGGACTTTTTTGCATTTATCTTCAGATAGAGCGGGAGGGAGGGGGGAGAGAGAGAGAGAAACATTGATGTGAGAGACACACACAGACTGGTTGCCACCCACACGACTCCAACCGGGGCCGGGGACAAACTGCAATGGAGGTACATGCCCTTAGCAGGAACCACAAACCCAGGTCCACAGGCCGATGCTCTAACCGCTGAGCCAGACCGGCCAGGGCGTGGCTGCTCTTGCTAATACCGACCTCCCTGGGAGGGTGCGTCTCTCTGGTAAATGTTGATGATGTGCTCCCCGGTCATCCCGCGAGCTGTACTCACACAGTGGTCTTTCCCGTGTGCAGAGAAACCTCACGGAGTACTTCGTGGCCGTGGACGTGGCCAACATGCTGCAGCTGTACGCCAGCATGCTGCACGAGCGGCGTGTCCTCGTCACCTCCAGCAAACTGAGCACCGTGAGTACTGCACGCCGGCCTCTCGCGCCGCCGGCATTGAGCGCGCCACAAAGGCCCGCGGGCGCACGGAGTCGGGCGTGTTCTCCGTGTACTCGGCAGACAATGTCTCCGCGCTTCCCCTGGAAACTGCTTTTAACCTGGTCCTTGAAGGACAAAAGTCTGATGGATGGAAGGGCCTTCTCAGATGCATTAAGTCAGGTTAATTATTTTTTTCTTATCAGGAGATGGGAGTTGTTTTTTCCCTCCTGCTTTCTTTGTACATCTCCGAGTTCATTTGCCTGCCTTCCGCTGTAGAAAGAGCTATTATGAGATCTTTATTATGCACTTGTGGCTTTTCCCATTGGCCCCCTTGAAAGGAGCCTGGGCCTTGATAATAGCAGCTACCCCAGCCTGGTAATAGGTGGATTCCTCTTTGTTGCCAAGTACTGGTCCGGTAGAAGCGTCAATAGTCGTTCTGACTTGGAGGAGCTCTTCAGTCTGATAATAACTTAAAAGTCAAAGTAGCGTTTTTTATTCAGCACACGGTGCGTGTCGCTCACTCAGATGTGCGTTGGGAGCGAGGACGAAGGCAGTGAGGACAGTCAAGCCTTTTGCTAGGTTTCCTTTTTTTCCCTGCTCGAGACATTATAATTTTTAATATTTTTGATTGGCTTAAAATTTTTAAATAGAAATGTCAGTAGAGTGTAGAGTAATAGATGAGCTGTTTATTAAAAACCATCTCTATTTAAGATTGCATGGGTTTGCTTTCTTACCCATTTGGTTAAGTGATAAAGGTAAGATAATAGATACACGTTTTGTTCTGTGGTAGAAATAAGAGCTTTATAAAGTTGTGGTGTTTTAGAGAAGAAGGAGTTTCAGGACCTCTCTGGGATGCCGACTGATGTGTAATGATGAGGAAGGTGTTTTCAGAGAGGTCAAAGGCCCACTGGAGACAGGTAATGTCATATTGGGTCTTCTGACTCTGATTTTGGGTTATTCCCGTTACTCTGCAATTGAAAAAAAAAAATACAGTTCTGAGATTTCAGATTGTAATATCGATACGCCCACGTGTCCAAAACAAATGAAAATAGACTATTTCGCATATGGGAAAACACACTGTACACACCTGAAGGAGGAAGCGTGCAAAGTGACTCAGGACTGCCGAGGGTCAGCAGTCGGCAGGGACACAGGTGCCACTTGCATTTTCTGCAAGCGATGTTGAGAAATTCACTCGGAATCATTTGGTCCTTTTTATAAGTTCGCTGGTCTGTCATTTCAAATTTACCGTTCTCTTCATCCTCGTCATTTTCTGAACATGAATTTTTTTTCAAGATTATAAAGAATATTTCTATATGGCATTGTCCTGAGATTCAGAAGATTGTACAAACTGTCTTAGAGGTCTAGGAACTCAATTTTTATCAAAATTAATTTCCGTCACAAGTATTTATTATGTACCCATGTGGTATGCGCTTTCTAGACACTGAGGAGCCAGCAAGGCAAAGTCCAAACTCTCTCAGAGCTTAGATTTGACTGATGGGACAGAAAGAAGTGGATGAATGAATAGCTTTTAGGACGTACGGAGCTGAAGGCTGAGGGCTGGGAGAGTGAGTGAGCGTGTGTGACATACAAGACGAGGGGCCGGTGTCTGTCCAGTAAAGGGTGCTCGGGAAGGTTCTCTGACAAGCTTGTGGTGGAGCGGAAAACGGAAGGATGGTGGGAGTGAGGTGTGGGAGTGAGCGCAAAAGCTGCTGCTTGGGAAAACACTAGAAGTAGGTCTGATGTGTGACCTTGTGCATTGTTGGGGTTTTTCTTTGTTGTGATTTGTAAGCACCTCTGATGTCTGGGTTCCCTCTCGGACTGGCATCTTCAGTGTACATGGGAGGCTGGGGTAATAGTCCTCAAGCTGATAGGGTTGCTGTAAAGCTTAAGGCTATATTTACATACACATGTGAGTGTGTATACATATACATGTACACATATATACACACATATACATACGCGCACACACATACATATGCATATACATATATGCACATGTACATACATATACGCACATACACTTATACATACACACATACACATATGCATATACATATATGCACATGTACACACATAGACACATGCATATACATACACATATACATATAGGTGACGTGCTTATAACTGAATCTGCATAGGATTCAATGATTCTTCAATGGTTATTAGCTAAAATTTTCTAATGGATCAGATAATACAGCTTAGAGTAAAAATAAGCATGCCCACTCTTCAACTTTATTTGAAGGAAAAAAAGAAATCATTTCAGTATAGACTCGGTATTATTCGGGGAGCTGTTTGCTGTGTTGGAGGTGAACTTCATACCCATTGCTTACGACTGACCCGGGAAACCTGGCGGTGATGTCATCTCTCGGTTACCAGCTCTGTCCGCTCACCCTCTGGGACTTAGACTGATAACAGACACGAACATTAAGTTCACGGTCAGACGGCCTTACTTCCCGTCGGGGGGAGCCTCTACCTGAATCTGTCCTGAAAAATCCATGTGTCTGTATCTGCTACGAATCCTACGCATGGTAACGTTTAAGGTCAAAGACTAGAACCAAACATAAATTAGGAATAAACTACTTTTAGAAAGAATCCAGTGAAACCTCTGAAACATCCAAGGAGGAGGTAGTTAAAATGTCACTGAATTGACTTGCGCTAAGCGTCTCACATTGTTATTATTTTTATGTGCCACGAAGACTAGAATGTATTTAGTCTTAATGCAAGAAATTGTCCTCATTTTAAAAATCTACAGCCAACATTTTAATTGTTGACAGAACTCATATAAATGAAGGTCTATTTACATTCATCACTTTACTGTAGTTTTAGGGATTTTGTTGGGATCTGGACTCTTTGACAATCAGAGCTGTTGGAATCATGTTTGGCCAGCAAATAGCTTGCTGGGGGTTTTAGTTAAAGATGCTTTGATGACTTGACGCTCTCTTTACATACCCTTTGTAGTTAAAATTGTAATTTTTAATTATCTTTATAAACTTTAAAATTTAATAAAAAAACCTAGTTTTGAGATAGATTAGCAAAAAGATGAAGAGTGTTATGTTAAAACCAGAATGCCCCCTCCCCCCATTAAAAGCGCGGTATTTTGCCAGGACACATTACTATATGTTTATGTGTTTGAGTTTCATGAGCTGGGACATCAGCACCTTTGTGTTTTCTGTCCACGTGTTCATTATCGAGGACACGCAGGCCGGGGCGTCCGGGACCCTGAAGGAGGGCGGGGTCCCCCCCCGGGGCAGCCCTGCTGTGTGCCAGCCCCGTGCTCTGGCGGGGTTGGGGGGGGCAGCAGCAGCCACGGAGCGGTCTCGTGCGTGCGGAGCAGAGGAGTACATCATCGTGTTACAAGACTCTATCAGTTGACTTATTGCTGTTCTGTGACCAGAGGTAGGGGAGACTGTCATCGGTTCTCAACTCAGGCAGGCATGGTCTTGTCATCTGCCTCTGTAATTGTACCTCCGCAGACTTTCTCTAACTAGTCAGCCGGGGCTGTGTATTTTGTCTCCAACAGGGCCGGCCGGCGTCTGACAGCAGCCTCGCGTCGCCCTGTCAGTCACATGTTAACGAGGGGGCTCCGAGGCCTGGAGGAGGGGCGGAGAGGCCTCCCTCCGCAGCAGATGTCTGCGTGCGGGCTGCTAGGCTGCTGCCTGGGCCCGCGCTGCCCAGCCGCCGCCACCCTCTGGAAGCCCAGAGCCGGGACCGCGTGTGCGGGTTCTCTCCGGGTGCGAGCACGCAGTGTGCCCGGGTGCTGGGCCTGGGTCAGCACGTGCAGTTCCTCCCTTTGTTAGTGCTGCCCCCGGGCACCGCATATGCCTCTCAGTAACTCCGGCCAGGGCACGTGCAAAGAGAAACCTCTGTGATCCCCGAACATCAACCATCAGATTGTAGGCTTTATAGGGTTAGTGGGACTGAAGGGGAATCCGGAGGGTGTCCCCTCTCCGGCTGGGTGTCACGTAGCCTCGCTTTGTGTCTCACTCGTGTCACCTGCATCGGCACCGGCTCTGGGAACCGGAGCGGGCGCATCTCCTGGAGATGACGAACTGAGCACTGGGGAGGGAGCCGAGGTTGCCCAGGTCCATTGCCTCGCGAGGTTACCGAGGCGCATGTCCCTCCTCGTCTGCAAAGCCACAGCCACGCGGTGCCTTGGACCTGTCATCGAGACCTCAGGGAGAGTCTAGGGACAACTTGTAGGTGTCCATTCTTCCCCAAGCCCGTAGCAACCAGTTACATCAGCTGAGACAGTAGCTGACGCTCCTCCTTGCGTGTTGTCTGGCGGGTATTTCCGCGCAGTGCAGGGCACCGGGGGTGGCACAGGACCGCCGAGGTCCTCGTGTCGCACTTGTCGGAAGACATGGACGGAGGAGTGTAGGAGGAAACTTCTAAGACGGAACAACCGTCTTAGGACTGGGGGTGTCTCCCAGCCCGTGGGGTGACCAGAGCTCTGGTAGAAACCAGCATATATTTCTGCTTGATGGTTCAGTCTGCTTGTCTTCTGAAAGTAAACAGTTGTTTCTTTATGTTGTTAATCCTCGCCTGAGGATATTTTTCCATTGATTTTTTTTTTTTAGATAGAGTGGAAGGGAGGGGGAAGGAGAGAGGGAGAAAAGGGGAGAGGGAGAAAGAGAGAGAGAGAGAAACATCCATGTGAGAGAGACTCATCGATTGGCCGCCTCTTGCACATGCCCCTGCTGGGGTCAGGGATCAAACCTGCACCCCAGTTACATGCCCTTGACTGGGAATTCAATGCTCCAACTGCTGAACCCAACTGGCCAGGGCAAGCACTTGGTTTTCATTTAAAAAATAAATTAGTTAATGTAACTATAACGAACTAAGCGATGTGTTCAGTTACCATCCAGTAGGATCCACAGACCTTGCTCCCACACCTACTCCGACCTCTCAGAAATGACCCACAAGGTTCCGGGCTACTGGAGTAGTTTCCTGTAGAATCACCTGCTTTGTGCCGTGAGCGACTGTCAATGTTAGCGATAAGAAAAATTGTGTGTCTTGCTTGTTTCCTTAGTAAAGGTACTGTGGAGAGCAGGATGTTTTGAATGGACCTTTTATATTTCCGTTTTCATGCAGTTTTCCCCCATTTTTCAGCCAGGCTGGTTTTCTCTTCTGATGAGCTTTCCTAGGTCATGGGCTGTCATAACTCACTGCGGACATCACTGGCGACATCTCCTGCATGGAACTCGCCAGCCCCCCCTCCCCCAGTCTCCTTATTTTACGGGGGGGCTAATCTCGGTGGTTGGCCCTTCCCGCTCGTCCATTTTCCCCACCTGAGTCCCACCGACCCAACCCTCCATCCTCTCTTCTCCGACCCGTTTCTGCCAGCTCTCTGAGTTCAGGCGGTGATCACCTCCCGCAAATAGAGGTTTCAATCGTATTTGCTGAACGGCAGCAGTATCTCCATGTACATAAAGTGGCAGTAATGATTAGTCGTTGTAGCCGAGCGACACAGTGCACTTAACCCTTTCAGTGAACTTAACCATCGCGTACTCAGCAGTAAGACAGATGTCATCCGCGCTGGACAGATGACGACGAGATTCTGAGACCCAGCGGGAGGACGTAGTCCAAGGCCCCAGAACTAGCCGCTTCGCCAGCTCCTTCTGACTCCGAAGTACATGCTTTCAGCTTCTCTGCAGTTTTGCCTTTTACAACAGCCGCTTTATAAACCCAGCGCCTCCTAGCCTGCTGCCCGATACCGCAGCCCTGCGGTGAAGGTCTCCTGATCACCCACGGGGTCTCGTCGGTTGTCCCTCACTCTCTCGGTGGCCTCTTCCTCCCACTCCTAGTGCCACGTTTAATGCTAACGTGTAGCTTCTGTTTGGACCTCCCGTCTCCCCACCCTTTACACGCATTCCGTGTATAATTCCTCCTTCAGAGTCATAAGGAGCAGTTGACGATGACTCATGGCCTGTAACACTCCATCTGCCCCTGCAAGCTGTCCATGACCTGGCCCCAGCTCTTCTTCCTAAATGTTTCTACCACGTATTTCTCCTCCGTGGTTTCTCACCCGTGAGCTCCTCCGGGCAAGGGGCTCAGATCGCTCAGTCAGTCCAGGAGGCATGGCCCCGGGCAGCGCCGCCACGCAGGAGACTTTCAGCAGGACTTCTCGTGCACGAAAGGGCACTTCCTGCCCTGCTTCCGATGTGTTTTGAGTGCTCACCATCTCCATGGCTCTGAATGTTTTCCAAACTCTGGTTTGCTTTTCAGAGGCCTAGTTTCTGTCTTTCCTCTCTGAAAACATGATTTAGAATCATGGTGTGTGTGTGTGTGTATGTGTGTGTGTGTGTGTAAGAATAAATTTAATCTTGTCCGGCTAGTGTGGTTGAGCGTCGACCCTGCACCAAGAGGTCACCGGTTCAATTCCCGGTCAGGACACATGCCCAGGTTGTGGGCCTATCCCCAGTGGGGGGCGTGCAGGAGGCGGCCCATCGATGTTGTCTCTCATCGATGTTTCTCTCTCTCTCTCTTTCTCTCAAATCAATAAAGAAAAAATTATTTAAAAAAAGAATACATTTAATCTTTTAAATTGTGGATGACAAAATTTTATAAAATGAAACTTTTATTAATTACATTATGGTATGAAATAGCAAGTGTTCATCAGATACTGAAAATGCCTTGGTAGATATGTGTCTCTTTGACACGTCGTTTCTTTAAATAATGAAAGTTTCTTTAAGAATTCTGAAGTTTATAATCAGGGGCTCATTTCCAGGTAGGCTTTGTTTTTTTGTTTGCTTTTTTAATTGTGTTTAGCCATTTTCTGCTAAAGAATGTCGATTTCTAAAAACGTCTGTGCCAAAATGCCCCTCTGTGTATCACTGCACACCTCTCTCTCTCTCTTACCTACTTCTGAGCAGACAGTCCTCAGGAATGTTTCTAAAACCTTACACTCTCGGCTTGCACGTCCCTCCCTCCTTACTGCAGTCCCGTGTTATAATTTTAATTCTCTGTCTCATCCTGGCCCTATAGTCCACCTGAGACGGACACTCTCACTGTTGTCACTTCTGAGAATTAATTCGTTCCAGTTGCTAAGGTTGCTCTGGTTGGGGAAGGGCCGGCTTTCTCCCTGTCTCCCTGCCCCCTCGCCTAGATCCGACAGTTCGAAAACCCCGAAGCCCTTCCCTCCTTGCTGGTTACCTGGCTCAGCAGAGATACCCCTGCCACGTAAGGCGGTGACCCCTGATCGCCAGGAGATCACCCCCTTAGAAGCCAGTCAATCGCATGAGGTCAGATTGCACCTTCGTGCGACGTTCCTATCTTCCCCTGAGGACGACCACTGAGGGCGCAGAGAACTTTGGGCTCTGGGGTGCCCGCAAACTGTGACCCTCGTGGCCACTGCTCCCCTTGGGAGTGCACTGGCCTTCGTCACACCGTTAATTATTTTTCTCCGTGGTGCAACAGGAACTCTTCCCCTTTTCTTCACGGGTTAAAATGAGCTGTTTTAAAAGCCACCCGTGTGGAGGTGGAGAGAGTGAGCTGCCTCAGCTTCAGCCAGGCCGGGTTCCACCCAGGAGATGGACAGACCGCTTGGCCCCCGCCTCCCTCCGGGACACGCGGAGAAGGGGAGGCGGGTCGATCACCCCCACCCTCACTTCCCTCTAGTCAGATAGTAAGATAAGCACGTCCACCGTCCCTCATTGTTAAATAGTTGCATGTGAATGCCTCCTAGTGGTATACTGTGTGTTCTAATTAAGGAATTTTAAAATACCATTTGTTGAAAGAATACTGTAGATGAACTAATAAAGCTGGTGGGAAGGACGAAAACCCTTCAATGGTAGCATACTAAACAGAATAAAAATACATCGTTTTTCACATGTAGTTGGTTAACAATCTAACTGGGCAAACACATAATACACATGATCAAGGTGAATATACTTTTGTCAAAATTTTTGTTTTTTTGGTTCAGATTAGATTATTTTAATTAATCCTTTTAATTCAGTAGAACTCCTTTGCACTTTAACGTAGGCAGTGTTGCTATTAAGAGTGAATTGCGAGGGGAAGGGGTGACAAACGCTCCCGGAAGGAGACTTGACACGGGGTGGTGAACACAGTACAATACATAGAAGATGTCTTATAGAACTGTACCCCTGAAACCTATAAATTTCACGAACCATTGTCACCCCAATAAATCCAGTAATGAAAGGAGGATTGAATTGCTTTGTATATACATTTATTTCTTAAAATGAGTTTGATCACTACGTAAAACTTTAATTTTTATAATAGCACAGTAGAAATAATGGTTCCTAGAAAGTCCGTGGTTCATTTCCCGATGGTTTTATTTGTGAATTCTGATTTTCGAATGGAATGAGAGGATGTAATTGGTAACCTCGAAACGCAGACCGTAGCAGAACTTTGAAACGATGATGAGTGCTGATCCGGGGATCGCTTCCGATACGGAGCGCATGACTTGACAGTCACGGAAATACAATTTAAACTGTGGAGGCAGTCACCTGGAAAGAACTGATGTGGGCCCAGAGGAGGGAAGAAAAGGGGAAAAAAAAAAAAAAGGTGATCTCTCTGTGTGAGGCACTAAAAAGACGCAGCGGACTGCTTGCCAAAACAAAACAATTAAAACGGCGATCACCTCTGAAACAGCAACTGCGAGGTGGCAGCTGCTGCCACCCGCGCCGGGAAGCCCGGAGTCCGTCCGGAATGCGCAGCCGACGCGGGGATGATGATGTACTTGGCTTCCCGCAGCACAGCTGTCAGGCCCGGCCGGCGCTGGTCAACGGTGACATCTCTGTGTCAGTGAGCAGAGTCTCCTGACACCGCCGCCCCGTTCGCACGCGGCGGAGGCTCCGACTGTCCAGCAGCCGGGTCCCCCGGCGGCGCCGCAGCCCGCAGACCCTCCTGTCTGACTCGTGTTTCAGTCCCTGGCAATTTGCCCTAATGATATCCCTCCGGAGCTCCCGCCTCCCTTCCTTCCCATATTTAATCGCGGTGGATGAACCTGAGTGATGCCCGCGCGGCGCTGATTGTCAGTTCCTCCCCTTCGCCCCGCGCCCACCCAGCGCTCGGGTGTAGTTTGTTTATGTTCCGTGTGTTGACGCTGAACACAGTACTTCCACTGGGTGCCTGCCCACAGCGCCCAAGCAACGCCCTGGGCTGTCCACATCCTGGGTTTCTCGAGGGGGCTGCGGGGGCATAAGCTCGGAGCAGCATTGGTGCGGGCGGGGGATAGAGGTCCCGAAATCAACTGGTGCACGATCATCACCCGTCTTCGGTGACGGGAGCACGTGCTCGGAGGGGCCGCGGCTACTGACCAGTGTTGTCCTTTTACACGTTGCAGTTAACCGCCTGTCTGCACGGATCGGCCGCTCTGCTGTACCCCATGTTCTGGCAACACATCTACATCCCCGTGCTGCCCCCACACCTGCTGGACTACTGCTGGTAAGCGAGGCCCGGCTGCTGGGGTCCGGCGTCCCGGTCGGGAAAGTCCAGTTCTTGGCGGGTTGGGTGTGCCCGCCCCTGGAACTTGTGTCAGGGGTTAGTAACACGTATTCAGACGTGCTTTTAGGAAGGGCCGCTGGTTCTTCCTGGCTGGCTGACGTCCACACCTGGCAACCCAAGGTCTCCAGGTTGTGTGAGTTCCTGCCGCAGCCATTTGGATGAGTGAGCGACTGGAAACAAGCACAGTCTGAGTCGTGGTTGGGAAAGTGGACCCCGCACCTCAGGGTCGGCGTCTGTCCACGGGGTCGTGGCGGTCCAGGCGGGCTCCGGCAGGGCACACTGTCCTGTGCCCCTCCCTCACTGGCTCACCCAGCACCAAATACCAGCGACAGGGTCACCTGGAGGAGAGAGACTCCCTGACTTTCTGGTTTATTTATTTATTTATTTATTTTTTATCCTCACCCAAGGACATTTTTTGTTCAGGTAGAGTGGGCGGGGGGGGGGGAGAGGAACAGAGAGAGAGAGAGAAACATCGATGTGAAAGGGACACATCGAGTGGCTGCCACCCACACAACCGACCAGGGCCGGGGACAAACTGCAACCGAGGTACATGCCCTTAGCGGGAACCGAACCCGGGTCTCTCAGGACCGCAGGCCGACGCTCTAACCGCTGAGCCAAACCGGCCAGGGCTTGACTTTCTGGTTTAAATCAAAGCCGCAGCCCCGGGCCATCTAAAAGCAATGTTGAAAAGTGTTGGGAATAATTCTGAAAAGCTTCCTGCCATGAAAAACAGCTCCGAGGGACCTCACCCAACCTGAATTCAACTCCAGCCCCAGATCCTCCCCGTGTTCTTCCCTGGAAGGGTCTGTGTACTTAGAGTGGCGCTAGCCTAGGGCTGGACTCCAGACGGGAGGGCCCCACAGCGTCTCATTGAGCTGCTGTCTTCTGCAGGGATAGCTCCCTTCTCCAGAGACCCGATGAGTTCTCCTCCACACCTGCAAGCGTGTGATGCACACGCACGCACACACACCCGTGCATGCACACACATGCACACACCCGTGCACACACACACGCACTCATGCACACACACCCGTGCATGCGCACACATACACACACCTGTGCACACACACACACGCACATGCACACACTCATGCACGCACACACACCCGCACATGCACACACATGCACACACCCGTGCACACACGCGCACGCACTCATGCACGCACACACACCCGTACATGCACATGCACACACCCGTGCACGCACACATGCACGCACGCACACATGCACACACACACACGCAGAAGGAAATGATTTTAACCATAATATGTCTGTCAGTATCACATCTCATGTTATTAAAAAACAAAGCTCTTTTAGAACCAAAGTATTTAACATCCTTATTTCATGAAAAATAGATTGCCCCAAATATTTAGGGATGGAACTGATTTAAGTTCATACATAGAGGTTTTTTGTGACATTCTTATGACTAGCTTTCAGGGACAAGTCATTGTCATGACGAAGCATATACTTGGCCGCGGATTGACTGTACCCCGCTGTGCCGGGGCTTCCACACCTTGGTGGTAGTGTTGGTGTCGAGGGCACTGAAGCAGGTGCCTCTGACCTACCCTGCGACTTCTTCGATCCGGAAAGGAGACGGAGTTTGGGAGGAGGCCTGGGGTGTGTGCAGTTCAATTCGATTGTGGCGCGTTACACACCCAAGTCCAGGAGTAAAGCTAGATCTAAAACAGCCTCCTGGGTTCATCGCAGAGTTTTGCTTTCCCCTCTGAACAACACATCCGGACTGTTGGCGCCCTGAAGGCAGGAGCCACAGCTCCCTCGTGCCGACGCACACGGGGTGTCCTCCCCCTGAAGGCAGGAGCCACAGCTCCCTCGTGCCGATGCACATGGGGTGTCCTCCCCCTGAAGGCAGGAGCCACAGCTCCCTCGTGCCGACGCACACGGGGTGTCCTCCCCCCGAAGGCAGGAGCCACAGCTCCCTCGTGCCGACGCACACGGGGTGTCCTCCCCCTGAAGGCAGGAGCCACAGCTCCCTCGTGCCGACGCACACGGGGTGTCCTCCCCCTGAAGGCAGGAGCCACAGCTCCCTCGTGCCGACGCACACGGGGTGTCCTCCCCCTGAAGGCAGGAGCCACAGCTCCCTCGTGCCGACGCACACGGGGTGTCCTCCCCCTGAAGGCAGGAGCCACAGCTCCCTCGTGCCGACGCACACAGGGTGTCCTCACTCCTGGCGTCCAGCAGTGAGAACTCAGTTGTTCTGAATGACTTCCTACAGGAGCATCTGAAAGTACACTGACACATGACTTTAAAGACTGTGTCAAGAACTAACACTTCTAATGACGAAATCTGTATTTTATCATACCTAATGCCGGTACCATTGTAATCTTTCTGTCCCAGTGTTTGAACCTCTTAGCTGATAGCATCTCTTTATGTCCCATGGAAGACTTTCTAAAATGTTGTCATTTAGAGAGGATTCTGTGATGTCAGTAGTTCTGTGCTGACTGTTTCCGTTGAGCCTTCCTGCTCCTACCAGAGCGAAGGAAGTGGTTTCAGGGTCTCGTCTCTGGAGTCTTCTTACTAGTTTCTAGACTCTGTCCTTCGGGACAAGTTCTAACAGCCGCCACGCCGTGCTTCCGAGGCGCGGAGAGAACAGGCTGCTAGTGAGACTTCCCGAGTCTTCTGCTCCTATGGGGCTCGGCTTCCGTCAGGGGGCCGTACTGGGGGACATCTGTGTATTTGTAGAAACAGCCGCCCACACTCTCGCTCTCTTCCCAGGTCAGAAAGTTCCGTGGACCCAACTATTTTCTGGGGGGGACGGGTTTCTTCCCTTTGCATCCTTGCAGATGATTGTAGTCACACTTACCTGCATGTAGAAGGGAGAAACGTCTTAGAGACCACCCCTTCCATTCTGGCTTTTAAATAAAGTCATGTTTACATTCCACTTCAGAAGTAGCACCGGGAAGGTCACACAGCGGCAGAGGTGTAGGTGCCAACTCCCCCAGGTGACTGGGACCTTCCACGGTCCGAGGTCACCCCGGCTCCGGGAGGGATCTGTGCTTTTGCACCCCGGTGTCTCTGACGGCGTAGGTTGTGAGAGCCAGACTGCCATCCTGTGACCACAGGTGACCATCGCCTCTGGGCCCACGGAGAAAGGGGCAGATTTAACCGGCTTCCACAAGAAAGTTTGCGAAAACATACATGGGAAGTAAGTGGCGTGGTCTTGAGGCCCCTAAGTTAATAGATGGTGGGTACAATCAACCCCATGGGTCGTCCCTGTATGGAGACCGAAGAGGGGGAAAAGCTGTAGTATAGCAATCATTTCTGCATGAAGATTAATTGCCGAAAGAGGCAGCCTTCCCCTCTTTGCAAAACAACTCCATTGGCAGAAGGACCCAGGATGGTTTCGCGCCTGGAGGACAAGACATCTGCGTTGCCAGGGATCCCCTCCTGAGCTGCTCAGCCGTACTGCGATTGGGAGATTCCACCAGGGTAGCAAAATTACTTTGCACGAGACGGGCTGATGAATACCACGTTGCGCACAAAATCCCGTTTTCATGACGAAGAAGCAGCTACGCGACTAAATCTCTGTCCTGCAAAACACCGTAACTACGTTAGGAGATGATGCTCGACATTCACAATGTTTGCAGTTCTGACATCTGTGTGTTTTGCTCTTGTTACAAGTTGGTGCGATGGAGACACCTAGAGATACCAGGTGATCCCGTAGAAAAGGTTCAAGTTATTTCATGATTAGGTTCGGGCAGAAGAGCTCCCCATTGAATTTTGATTCCTGTTGAACAGTCTCTGGATTTCTTGCTTCTGTGTACCCCGTGGATTTCAGTATTTGGGGCTTTGATGTTTCGAAGTCTGAGCCACTCCGTGTTCCTCCAACATCTGTAAAATGGACATGATGATGATGACTTTTAAAAGGCTCAGATGTTCTGATTAGCACTCATTTGATTACGACGTGCTTTGAAATTTGAGATACTGTGGGCTATATTATATATTTGGTGGGTAAGATCACCCAACCTGGGGCCGATGGGAAGATGTCATAGTGACTTTAATACTTGTATACAACTTTGGAGGTGGCAGGGACTTGCCATGTTGGAGGTACCCACCAGCTTTGTGAAGATGGCCCGAACCCAGTGAGTGAACACAGAATTCACGCCACACCCTTGATGTATTTTATGTCCCTTCGCAGAAGGAACTGCAGAGATGAGCACGTGAGCCAGGGAAGTAACCAGCCTTCCTTCAGTTAAACAAAAACGGAGCGGTCCGCATTTATTGGTCCCGGTTCCCCTTGAAGGTAGCATGTCTATGAAGTCTTAAGGGTCTCAAGGCCTATACGTAGTTCTCAACGTGCAGTCCTTGAAGTACCCAGAACACCAGAGCGGTTCCAGGTGGCCCGTTCCATTTACATGAAGTAGGAAGGGACAGGTCCGTGAGAGGCGAGCGTAGCTGGACTTAGAATCTGGTCCCTAAGAAGTGATGGACAGGAGAAGGCGTACATGGACCCTCCACCGTCCTTCCTCTGTGAATTCTGTGTTTCAGGGAATGGTTAGCCACCTCAAATCCCTGGAGCTGCTTGAGGTTACTTTGAAAACAGGATCTGGCGAGGTGCCTGTTAGTTTCATCTGTCGCTGGTACTCAGTAGCCAAGTGGACTTTCTGGGGGCAGCTCTGGTCTTGTAATGACAGTGATCTTTGGAAAAGTAGGCAAATCCCTAGAGGAAGAGGGTTATCTGTTTTCATTTGCAGAAAAGGTTTGCATTACACGTGACACCAAGATGTGTACCCAAGACATTTTAAACAATGTTTTCTTTTCCAGTAGCTGTTTATTTGCATATTTCCTGCCACTTTTGTAGACATCTGTCCATTCTCATGGTTTCATGAAATGTCAAGTTGAATAATTTCCTTCTTCTGTTTAACGAGAAATATTTTTTAAATTACTAGGAAGTCGGATTTTATGTGTTACAAAAATTATTTCGTGACTGTATTCTCTGCTAGAGTCTTAGACTCCCAAGGGAATATAGTCTGTCTAGATTGTTCATTATTGGACCCAAGCCCCCCGACCCGGGCACCTGGTATGCTCTAGATATTTTAATTAAGTTAATTTAATATTATCCTATAATATGTTATGTTAGAACTGTGCATTTAATAAATTTGACTCTTTAAGCATACGGAATTACTTACGTTGTTGTTAGAGCTTTGGTGAACTAAGTGAATATATGTGTCTTTTTTTAATCTAGCGCTCCAATGCCATACCTGATCGGGGTCCACTCCAGCCTCATAGAGGTGAGTCTCTTCCAGACATAAGACCGTGATAAATTCGTTCATAAAAATGGTAGACAGTTGTACTTTGAAAGGACATCAGTTGACTACTACAAAGCAGTGATTGGTTTTATATATCTACATGGTTATGTTTAAAAGGGTAATATTGAAATAACTGCATGTTAGTTTGTGTTCTAAATGACATCTTCAGTGGCATGAACCCCATGAAAATAGGTGATGGTTGGTGGAAACCACGTGGTCAGTTTTAAATCGGAAAACTTTAGCTCTTAAAGAACCACTTTCTTTATGGTACTTGAGATTTATATATCTCTATATATGTATTTTTTTCAGGCCTGTATTTTGAAAGCTAGAACTTATGTAATTATGGGTTGTAAAGGGAAATTTTTTTTTATTTTTCCGTTTTCTCCAAAGTGTGGTTCTGATACATTAATCATGAAATTTTTAATTCGAATACAGCCTTAAATTTTTTTTTTTAATGTATTCTCCTCGGGGATTTTAAGTGAAGTAGTTGCGTTTTTGTGCAACGTTCACCTCCTTCCACTCAGTTCACGCCTCTTGAGTCATCACTGTAGTGAAACCACCTTAAACTTGAAATCAGTGAAATGTCCTGGGAAGATTTCTTATCAGAGTAACATCTAAAACAATCGATGAAGGACTTGGATCAAAATATGGCAGCATTATTCTGGCTGATTTCAGTTTTACTTAAATATATGTATATTTTTCTTTTGTCAGTTGTGCATTTTGAACTTTGACCCAATTTCTAACTTAAGTGAGCTGGATTTGGTGTTCTTTTTTTAAAATTTTTTTTTCTTTATTGATTTTAGAGAGAGAGAAAATGAGAGGGAGAGAGAGAGAGAAGCATCAATGAGAGAACATCGATTGGCCGCCTCCTGCACGCCCCCCACTGGGGATCGGGGCCACAACCTGGGCATGTGTCCTGATTGGGAATCAAACTGGCGACCTCTTGGTGCAGGGTCAACGCTCAACCACTGAGCCACACTGGCCGAACGGATTGGGTATTCTTATTAGTGGTTGTCACTGCATACGGTGTATACAGTGACAACAACTTTGGTGATCGAGGGAGATCCTATTGATGATTTTGAGGCTGAGGATCACGTCCTGAGAGAGTCATGTTCCTCTAGGACCCCTGAGCTAACAGGATTTCACATGTGCTCTGGTTTCAGGGTTTTTTATTCAAAATGCTAGGGCAACATTTTTTATTTGTTTCACTTTTAATAAAGAATACATTTTAATGAGTTTCCTTAGGAGGTTTAATTTGTTTTTAATATTGAAGTCTGGGTTGGATACCATTATGAGTCTTTATATTTTGTTATTTTTAGAAAACTTGTTCTTACATGCCAAGGCACCTGCAGGGAGAGGGCAGATTGTATAAAATAAAACACGAACGAATAGCCATGAATCTGTTATTGGATTTGGAATACGTGACTGGCATTTATCCATCAGCAGTTTGACTTCCGCACAATCGCACCATCCTTGGTTGTCATGGTTCCAAAAAAGTCATCCAATTGATTTTGATGTTAGCATACATGTCTCTCCTTATGTGTGTATCTAATAGAATATGTAATTTCTACAATGCATTTATTTACACAGATAAAAATATTTAAAGTTGTTGATTTCACCCATTATCTTGGGGTTTTGTTGCATAATTATTCTATATCCACTTTTAAAACAAATGATTCAGCTTTTCCACAAAATATTGTAGAAAGGACTACATGTTTTAAATATTCAGTTAAGTTGCTCACATACCCATTGGACACTTACAGAAAAAATATATTGTACCTTTTGAAAGGAGCAATTTGAGAATCATTTCCTCCTTCAAGTATTGTCTTAGGGAAACAGGCTCTTCTAACTCAGAATGGGCTCCGATCATTAAAAGGAGAGTGTTTAGAGCCGGGAATAGATTGGCTAAAATGTCCATATTTTATATACTCTGGACTTATCGAGCTGTCTTAATAGTCACCTTCATTCCGTGTATTGGGTTTAGTGGCGGATGAGAAAGTACAGTGGAGCCCTTGGGAATGCCTTCCCACTCGCGAGGTACCACTCAGGAACCTTCTCCTTAACCTGTAAGGAGGTGACGCATTAACTGCGTTTCCATTTATTTTATGTCATTATTAGGCAGATCTTTTCACTAAAATCTTGATTTTTATATAAATGGTATGGTCATTAAATAGTAGATATATCCATTACATATTTTATGTGGGAGACTGAGTAATTGTCTGCATCTTGTCTAGCTGCCCTTACATCTAATTTTTTTAAGGAAGAAGCAGGTGTTCTGTTCTCTCTCAGTCAAGACAGTTCAAGACTCTCCACATAATCGCTCAAAGACACGAAATCAGTGTCCTTTGACCTCCTTCTCCTAATTATTTTTATGTGAGCGTGAGTCGAAGGTGGCCAGCAACCCCTTTGGAAAATGCAAAACGTGCTTCCAAGACGCAGGGCCAGGTTGTGTTGTTCTGCCTGGACCCTGGCTGTCGGGAAGAACTCAGAGCCCACCACGGCCCGTGAGTGACAAGGGCTGAGTCGGTCGTGGCTGCAAGCGTGAGGGTTATGTGGGTGGTGTCAGTGCACGGGGGGTCTCAATCAGATGCTGACCCCATCTCACAGGGCCACGTGGCTGCGGCCACCGAGCCCTTGGAGTTCTCGGCACACCTGGCCGTGTCACTGCCCGGGAGGGTCCTCCCACAGGACAGGAGGCTCACCCCCTGCAGCACCTCCCTGTGCTCTTCGTGAGATGGCCAGCCTCTGTCCTCATATCAGCTTCTCATTTTTGAAGAAAAAGGAAAAGTATCTTTTTTTACATATATATATATTCTTAATCTTTCCCCATCTAAACGAGTATGAATTTTATGATAACAAAAATATGAGAGCGGTACCATTTTATACGCTGTATGACTGCCCACTGTATTGAGGAAAAATAGCTGAAGCCTGGTGTGGAGGCAAAACAGATAAAATACTGACATTACTCCAAGTTAAAAAAAAGAAAAGACTCAAATTACACAATATATATATATTTTTGGATATAGGATTGTTCTCATTTTAGGGCCTGTCAGTGTATTGAAGTCTTAAAATGAATACATTTTCTATTCTTTTTGGGTGGTTGCTTGAATGAAATTTAATGTCCAGCTTTTATTGGGACCTTTTAGAGCTAAAAGCGACTTTGAAAAATGTATACATTTCATATGAAGATGGATTTCCTTTATTGGGTTTATTATTCACATCATCACAAAACATTCTGGGGTTACTTAGCCATTATTCAAGGCTATTTTCATTTTTTTAAAAATATGTCAGGTTTATGGATTAACTTCTGTTAAAAGAACAACTTTCACTTGAAGATAGAAATCAAAATTATGACGTAGTTTTCCCTCAAAAATGCCATTAATATATATTTTTACTTATACAATAGGTTATTTTTGTAGTTATGTGGTAATTTATAGGTAACTACATATTTATGTATGGAAACCTTGTTTACATATGTGCACATGAAAAGGAGATGAGTTATGAGTGTTTTTGTCATAGTACCACTATTCTAAGTGATTCTCTGTTAATTTCTTAGAAATGGCCATGTTCTGAGTCTTACTTTTGAATTATTATGTCTTTTACAAGATCGATTTTCAGAATCATGGGTCCCCTGTGAGTCCATATTCTGAATAGACGTTATGGCTTTCTTAACACATAAGAATTCCCTACGAAAGACTACTATTTCCCTAGCAAATGTAAAATTCTTCTTCATATGCAGAGATTTGAAGTTCTAAATGAATCAGAGAAATTTTAGTTTTGCCCAACTTAAAAAAATTGTCTTGACCAATTTAAAATGTAAAGTATTTTATAATTCTCCAAACTGACTCTTATTCTAGAATGCCACTTTAAGAATATTATGCTGAAATTAATTGACCTATTGCTAGTTGGCGTATACAATTATGGATTTCTGATTTGGTGAATACCTTTCATTAATGAGCACCTTAATTGCATTAGGGAATAACACTATTTGCTATCATTTAAATAAGACTAATAGAATTATATAATTTAAGTATACATATTAGGTTAAATAGGAAATATAAATTGTAAATATTTTTTCTTTAAGGATGAAAAATTTGATGAAATTCTAATTCGCTATTATTTGTACACATATTGAGATAATTTGACCAACTGACTAAACTGTCAAACAAATAAATCAAATAGGTAATCTGATAGGCTATTAAACTTGATCTTTTATATTGAAATTCATGGGATAACTATTACTAACAATGAATTCCATATTACTGCCCTCTCTGTCATTTTTTTTCTGATTTGACTTTCAGTCATCATCATAAACTTACATAACATTGAAATGGAAATATAAAGAAAAGACTTATTACTTTAAACTTTAGTTGGTTTATGTTAGCCCTGCACTATGATGTAGGCTAAAAATAGGTACAGAACTAGACACATGTTTCTGTGTCATAGGACTGAAATTCAAGTGGTCAGACTTGAAGCGTGTAAGTTTTCATAGGTTAACATAGCTATGCCTATTTTGTAAGTCTTGTTTGTACTGTCTCTTTGGTAGTTGCATTATATTCATTATCTCCAAACTTAATCCATAGGTTTAGATGCGCAAACATTCTATTTTAAGCATTTTTACCCAGTCTTTTCGAGTGATTGTATACGAACTATTTTTCTCATAGAGCAAAGTTGTTTATATTCTTTTATAATGTAGGATTTTCCTCTTTTCTTCTCCCAAGTCTAATGCATTAAGATAATTTGTTTTTCTACATTTCTAAACGTGTTAGCTTTTGGAAAGATAATATACTAAGATGTTTATTTGTAATTGTGTTTTTTAAACAGAGAGTGAGAAATAAATCATTGGAGGATGTGGTTATGTTAAATGTTGACACAAACACTTTAGAATCACCATATAATGACTTGAACAACCTCCCGAGTGATGTGGTAAGTCTGAAGGGTATTTTGTGGTGACCATAGATCCATATATATGTGTTTTCTCCTGCACCCCGGAATGACTGAGAGTGATTTCCCCACTTTTAAAAACTCTGCAGTGAAGGGTTTGAGTGTGTCTGAGGAAGCCATGTGGCTCCACATTTGCTGTTTTTACCTTTTGGCCGAGGGGGAGGCGGAGGGAGCGTCCCGGCCCCGCTGGAAAAGCAGGATCATAATTAAGAAGCTCGGTGCATTCATTAGGCGCAGCTTCCTTTAAACGCACGACTCTTCATCTCGTCTTAATCATTACGTTACAAAGTAGGCATTGCTGTCTGCCTAGTGGCATGTCTTGCAAAAGAATGAGAGAGTTTTTGAAGGAAAAAGAAGGAAGCCAATTATCGGCTTTGCTTCCCGCCACCTGCCAGCACCGTTCCTTTTAATTAATGGTCTGATGGCACTGGTCAATATAATAAGAAATGCGTGTACAGTTGGGGTCAGAAAATTCTGCCTTTGATCTCCCTCAACTTTCTGAAACATTTATTTGTTTTCTCTAAATTATTTCAGTTTTATTTTTAATCTTCTCGATCCCGCTGAGGGCCGCAAGAATGAAAACCTGCGCCGGCCGGGCCCGGCGGCGGCAGGGCAAAGCAGCTCCCTTAGAATTCTATTTGTAAATTAAACTGCGGGCCCGGTTTGTCATAAAAGACATCTGATCCTTTTGAAATGACGAAAACTGTCTTTTGTCTGTAAAGGCTGATAAATTAAGTGCCAATTCTCTCCTGGTCTTTGATCTTGCAAGGGGTGTGTGTGTGTGTGTGTGCATGTGTGTGCGTGTGTATGTGTGTGCGCGCACGCGCATGTGTGTCTGCAGCTTATAATAAAATATATTCTGCATTTTATGTTAAATAGTCTCCCCAAATGGATTTTATAGCCTTTGTATTTCTGACAACAGGGCAAAAATGTAGACTTGTATTGTTTTTTTGTATATATTTCAGTGGTTGTTTCAAAATATGTTTCTAACATAGTTCTGAGTTAAAATAATGCCCCTTAAAAAAATTTATTCTTTTCAGGTATATTAAAATTTGGGAATAATACAAAGACCTCCAGAATATATTTTTCTATAATATTGCAAGTACTTTGAGATCACTGTTAGGGAGTTTGAAAATGGGATTGAAAAAAAAAAAAAAAATCTCAAGCTCAAAAAATACAGTAAAACTAAACTAGCTTGTTTTTATGGGTAGTGGTAGGAAAATAGGATTTTAAAGTCCAAATCAGGTTGTTTGTGCTTATAAATAAATAACCCCAAACACTTGCTGACCTTGAAGCAAATTAAATTGGACGACTTTATCCTACTATAGTGAACCTAATGCTACGTACGAACAAATCCAAACCCCAGTCAGTGAAGGATTATATTATGTTTTTAGCTCATTATAACTAGATTGCCTCATTATAAAAATTTTGCAGAAGCTGCTAGAAATGATTAGAGTTATTCATTTGGAAATCCATCAAAGTCCCCTTCATTGGATAGAGAAATAATGATGACAATAAAGTTCCAACTTTTAAGAACGTTTTCCTTCTGTGCATGCATTTCCGACTGTCCATGCCTTAAGGAGTGTTTATTTAAATAAGAAGAAGAAAGAGGAAAGAAAAATGAGAACGAAATCAGCTTTATTTGTATCACAATAACCTTTGTATAGTCCACTTTAATGGTAGCTCCCTCTTTCTTGGAGAAAAATTACTTTAATTATTTTGATGGGCGGTTCTCTTTTAATTAAGAAGTAGTCCTTTCCTAGCTTGAAATGAAAACATTTAGCTGCGTATGTGAAGGAGTTAAAGAATATTCACACAGTGAAAAAGCCTGGAGATGTGAAATGTCACGAGGCTCAATCTCAGAGTAGCGTTAACGAGACGTCACTGAAACAGCAGAAAATACTCAGAGGCAGGCCCCTCGCGAGGCAGTGTGGATAGAACTGGGGGGGGGGGGGCACAGGGCCACCGGTTATAAACAGGAAGAGGGAAGAGCTTGGAATGGCTTTCCGGTAGCCCTAGGACTCTTTAGCACAAGTAGGGGACATTTTCAGTGTGTACTCCCTCTCTTAAAAATGTTTTAGATGATTGCTTAACCCTCTCGCCTAAATTGACCTCTATCGTCAGTCCGTTTGCCGAAAGCTACCTCCTGCAGCTCTGTAGGAAATATGATCAAGTATCAAGTTCACGTTCCTATCAATGTCAATCTTTTCAAGGATGGGAAACATCACAAATGATTTGACTGATTATTTTTAGGGTGTGTGTGTGTGAGAGAGAGATTTGAGTTAATAAAATACACCCGAAGCCTGAAAAAGAGGACTCTTGGTGTTGTTTGCTTAGTTAATAAATTAACTGATATTTAAACGGGGCCTTTTAAAATCCCGCGGCCGTGCAGTTCACTCCTGCCCACAGCCTGGACGGCTCGGCAGGCATGTGCTCCCCATTACGGTGTCAGCCTGACCAGTGGTCCTGGCTGTTCCAAGGTCAGTGGTCACAGTTGTCCTGAATTACTCGTCTTTTTTCCTGTGGGCGCTCTGCTGTGTTGCATGCTGTAATCTTCTTAATGGCTTCATTCCAATATTCACACATAATATTTTAGATTTATTGACTGTTAGAAATACGGCCCTGCCAGTAGCAGTTCCGTTACTCAAGGAATTTAAAATTGGAAAAATAAATCAGGGCCGAGCGTCCAGGAGCCCTTTGTTTTGGGGGAAAAACGAGCTTCCTGTCTTCTGACAAGAACACTTGTTTCTCGATTTCATCATTTCACTATAGATTTGGATCATTAAAAGAAAACGAAACACCAATTTTATTGGGAGTGATTTTAACGATATTGATTATTACGTGGAATAACTTTTAAAAGCAGTCGCTCCATTAAAACATACTGTCGCAGTTTTTGTCTGTGAGTACGTTGTGATTTTAGTTTTTATGGGCTGTACCAAATATGGAGACTTTCAAGCATATGTAGTTTGAGTGTTTTGAAATAAAATAAATTTTAGGGCTCTGAAGACTATCAGTTGAAGTTAGTGTTATTGTGTTACGTTTTTAAATGTGCATGTGTGAAGGGGAAGAACCAGTTTGATTAAATAATAACATTTGAAACCTCAAATGCGATCATTTTAATTTAAGCAAATGCACTATTGAGACCCCCCCATTCGAAATAAATATATGCACAAATATAGTTTCACTTCTATCCTAATTTAAAATGTTGTATTTCTAAGCTATTGCTGCTCATTTTAATTTTTATCATCCCTGATATTTTAAAAATTAATTCAGACGATTGTTATTTCAAACATAAATAAGCCGACCCACTTGTTGGGAAATTGAGCTAATGAGAATTATAACAAGGTTTAGGAAATCTGTCTTCATGTGACTATTAAGTTAAAACAATGATAAAGTAACTCTGGTAGATGAAAGTAAGTTCGAATTGACATCTGACCGTTACATGCATTTGAATATTCATTACGAGGAAAGTGAATTTGGACCCATATTGCTTCACTGTCTTTAAATCATTTTAACTCAGTAAACTGTAAGAAATGATCGACTCTGAGACAGGTCAGCAGACTGATCCCTGTGTGGAAGGTGAAGGCACAGGGAGTATGTTGCTAAAGCCGTTTCTAGACCTTTAGGTCACCCGGGCTTCGATCCTCAGACTTGCACGGCGACCCCAGGCCGCGGTCCCTCTCGTGACCGTGGTGCGCAGCGCGAGGAGGAACTCTTTGAAGATTTAATACTCGGCTCCCGCTCCTTCCTGGTCTCGTCAAGGAGAAGCTCACGGTGACCTGTTTGATTTAAACTGGGCTTTTCTGCACTGCGTCATCACTCAGTCTCATGTTATATATAATGTACTGGACAGTGATTTTCTGTTTTCTAGTATGAGGGTGTGTAGAAAATACAGTCCGCTTAAGAGTTGTGGTACAAGCCACTGTCAGCCACGGTACAGTCTGCGGAGGATGGCTACGTTTGGTATCAAGCACATGTCACTCCTGAAGCATGGAAGAGACTGTGTGATAAAATGAGTCGCTTAAAACGCTGTGCCTTTTCCAGCGAGCCTTCCACGGAGGCGTCGCTGGTGGTTTTATTGTGGTAGAAAAAAGACACACCTTGCTCTGAATTACCCAAAATCGTTAACAGCCCAAAGAACTAGAGAAAAACACCCCGAACTCTGAGTGCAAATACTATGTTTGATAGCTACCTTCAAGTGAGTTCATTGGCGAGGTGATAAGTTTGGAAAAGAGTTGGCTTTTTCGGAGAATTTTTAAATTCGCTGTAAAAAAATGTAAGTCTGCACACAGCGTGAACCCTCACAACGATACAGAGAGTCCATGGGTGTATTTAACTCATTGGCTTTTTCCCCCTCTCATCTCAACTGAAGGTTTTTTTTTTTTTTTTTTTTTACCTCACCCGAGGATATTTTTCCATTTTTTGTACAGACAGAGTGGGAGGGAGAGAGAGAGAGAGAGAGAGACATCGACGTGAAGGGACACATCGAGTGGCTGCCACCCGCACGACCAACCAGGGCTGGGGACATGCAACCGAAGTACGTGCCCTTAGTGGGAACCGAACCCGGGTCTCTCCGGACCGCAGGCCAACGCTCTAACCGCTGAGCCAAACCGGCCAGGGCTCAACTGAAGGTTTAATATGTCAGATTGTCATAATGCGTGTTACGAAGCGGGAAAAAAGGCCCGGAGAATATTCGCTCTAGGATTGCCGCACCTCGGCTGTGTTTTGCAGTAAATAGAGGCCCCAGAAATTTGTACAGGTTCAGCTTAGCAAGAGAGCAGTGCTGCTCGGGTGCTAGAGTAAGTTAGAGAACTTGTTTCTAGTTGACTAGCGTAGACTCTAGGAGGCAAATCCAGCTTCATCTGGCCCCCCAGAGACACGGAGTCTCGCTCTCCATCCTGTGGTCCCGCTGTTGCAGTTCGGGCCCCCAGACGCGCTCTGCCCGAGCCACCTGTCCTGTGACCGGCAGGCCACCGGTCCGC